TTAATTTTTTATTTTCAGCATAACAGTATTCCTTGTTTTTGCACCATACCCAGTGCTCCATGCAATCCATGCCCTCTCTAATACCCACCACCTGGTTCCCCCAACCTCCCACCCCCTGCCCCTTCAAAACCCTCAGATTGTTTTTCAGAGTCCATAGTCTCCCATGGTTCACCTCCCCTTCCAATTTCCCCCAACTCCGTTCTCCTCTCTAACTCCCCTTGTCCTCCTTGCTATTGTTATGCTCCACAAATAAGTGAAACCATGTGATAATTGACTTTATCTCTCCATCCATACATTCTTTTTTAAAAAATTTTTATTTTATTTTTTCAAAGTTCCAAGATTTATTGTTTATGCATCACTCCCGTTGCTCCATGCAATACATGCCATCCTTAACTCACCACCAGGCTCACCCATCACCCTACCCTCTCCCCTCCAAAATCCTCATTTTTGTTTCTCAGAGTCCACAGTCTCTCATGCTTCATCTCCCCCTCCAATTTACCCTAATTCACTTTTCCTTTCCTTCCCCTAACATGAAGGACTCCATGTTATTCCTTATGCTTATGCTCCACCTTATGCTCCACCATATGCTCCATATGCTCCAAAACCATATGATAATTGACTTTCTCTGCTTGACTCATTTCACTCAGCATAATCTCCTCCAGTCCTGTCCATGTTGATACAAAAGTTGGGTGTTCTTCCCTTCTGATGGAGGTGTAATATTCCATTGAATATATGGACCATATCTTATTTATCTATTTGTCTGTTGAAGGGCATCTTGGCTCTTTCCACAGATTGACGATTGTGGCCATTGCTGCAATGAACATTGGGGTACATATGGCCCTTCTTTTCACTACATCTTCATCTTTGCAGTAAATACCCAATAGTGCAATTGTGGGGTCATAGGGAAGCTCTATTTTTAATTTCTTAAGGAATCTCCACACTGTTTTCCAAAGTGGCTGTACCAACTTGCATTCCCACAAACAGTGTAAGAGGGTTCCGCTTTCTCCATATCCTTTTCAACACACGTCATTTACTGTCTTGTTAATTTTGGCCATTCCAACTGGTGTAAGGTGGTATCTCAATGTGGTTTTGATTTGAATCTCCCTGATGGCAAATGATGATGAACACTTTTTCATGTGTCTGTTAGCTATTTGCATGTCTTCATTGGAGAAGTGTCTGTGCATGTCTTCTGCCCATTTTTTCACATGTCTCTGTCCATTTTAAAGGACAGCTTGTTGGATAAAGTATTATTAGCTGCATGTTCTTCTCATTTAGCACCCTGAATATGTCTTGTCAGCCCTTTCTGGCTTGCCAGGTCACCATGGACAAGTCTGATGGTATTCTGATGTTCCTCCCTCTGTATTGTAAGGAATATCTTCTCTTAACTGCCCTTAAGATGGTTTCTTTGGTTGTAACATTTGCAAATTTTCTATTACATGCCTTGGCATTGGTCTGTTCTCCTTGATTTTGGGATGGGGCCCTCTGCCTCTAGGACACGAATGCTATTTTATTCCCCAGATTAGGGAAATTCTCAGCTATGATTTGCTCAAATATATCTTCTAATCTCTCTTCACCCCCTCACAGATCCCAACAATTCTGACATTGGAACATTTCATGGCATCATTTATTTCTCTAATTGTGTTTCATGGTTTTTAAGCTGTTTGTTTCAGGCCTTCTCCAGATTCTTTTTTTCTATCAGTTTGTCTACTAGATCACTAACTCATTCTTCTGCCTTGTTTACCCTAGGTGTTAGAGTATCTAGATTAGTTTGGATCTCATTAACACCTTTTTTAAGTTCTGCCAGATCAGCTCTCAGTTCTGCCCTTAATGAATCTATGTCGTTATTAATGGTTTTCTCCAACCTAGCTACTGTCTGCATAACTGTTACCCTGAAGTCTATTTTTTTTATTTTAATCTTTTTATTTTTGTGATGGCATTCCTGTAAATCTAAAGTCCATCTTTTCTAAAGTATTCTTTCAAGTGATTTGATTGGCCAAGATTCACTCATCAGATGCCCACTCTGCACCCTTGGAGGTTACACCCTTGCCCAGTGGATGTCTAGCTCTTCCTACCTCCATACCCTTATGCACACTACTCCCTCCGCTGAAATCATCCTTATCCACTTTCATACTGTTGCAATTCTTCATATACACTGTGGCCTAGATCTGATGCTACTTCCTCCATGAAGCAAGCCTTCCTCTGATCTCTGCTGCAAAAAGGCACCTCTACTTTCTGAGAACTCAAAGCATTAATTTGTACTTCTTCATGCATCTGTTCTTGTATGTGTTCTTTTTATGGGACCTATGTGCCCTAAATGGGTATTATGTATTTCTTGACACTATAAGCTATATTTTATTTGCTATTTTATTTCCTGTAGGACTTAGAAGTATCTCACATAAAATGTAATGTCAATGAAATGTTCATTGACTAGTTAGCTAAAAATGGGATGATTAATAAGTACATTAAGACACATTCTTAAATCACCCCTTTTAAATTACTGTTTTTAAGTAGACTTATTTAAATAAAGGTAACATTGTTACCTTAAATTAATAATATTAATGACAATAGTACTGGATTGCCTCTAATCATTTCGAGGTCATTATATAAAACATATTTTCTTTTTTAATTTTTTAAATTTCTTTTCAGTGTAACAGTATTTATTGTTTTTGCACCACACCCAGAGCTCCATGCAATCCGTGCCCTCTCTAATACCCACCACCTGGTCTGAAGTCTATTTCCAACATCTTGCTTATATCCATATCCATTAGTTCTGTGGCAGAGGTTACAGTCTCTGAATTTTTCCTGCGTTGCGGGTTCCTCCTCTTAGACATTCTGTTGAGTGGCGGTTGAGGGAATGTACAGAATCCAGATTATTGACCACAACCAAAGCAAGATGCTGTTTTATGGGGACCTTAGGTCTGTTGGCTTCTTGTTCTTCCAGCCTGTCTTCTGGGAGAGGGGTCTGCTGCACTATTACTCAGGGAACCCTGTTTGGGCAGTGTTGCCCTGTCCCCTGTAGGGGGGGTGGGCTCAGTGAAAACTGGTTTTGGGGGTGTTGTTCTCTGGGGGCTTTCCCTGGTGGCTTTCTGCATCTCTTCCAAGAGTCACAGCAGATGTGACCATATCCAAGCTTCTGTCTCAAAACAGAGAGATCACAGTCTGTTCTCCAGAGAGACCCCCAGGCCGCACTGACTCCAGTTTTGTCAGTGCTGTTAGAAACTGCAATGTCCTTGGTTGTGCACCCCAGAGCAGCACTCCCAGCCCTCCCTTTCAGGTCCAGGCACATCTCTGCCCTTTGTGCTTCTAAAACGACCAGCTGCTCCCAGTTTGCACATATGTCCCCTCAGCTCCAGGATTCAATCTGGGGAGGCTGCCTTAAAGTCCTTTCTCTGATGCCACTAGTCTGCCCAGTCTCTACCCAGTGCCTAGTGCAGGAGGCTTTTGTGCTTCAGTGGCACAGGATCCTAGAGGCTCCCTCCCCCTTCTCTTTATTTTCTGATATCTGCTCACATAATCATGTACCTTGTTTCATACTTTGAAACCAGCTGCCAGAGATATTCTGTTTGTAGAGATCTGGTTGTATCTCCTTATATCTCAGGCTGATTTTGTGGGTGTTCAGAATGATCTGGTAGATATCCAGCTCAATTCAGGGACCAATTGAAATAGGGTCCCCGTATTTGCCCCTCTCACCCCATCTTTGCCTCTTTTGCTGCATCTCTATTTTTGCATTCTACTTTCCTGAGGTTTATTCTATTTCTCTTTATTATTTTTTCTTAGGTTAGCTGATTAGCTCATTCATTCTCAGACTTCATCCTTTTCTAACATAACATTAATGCTTGGAAACTTTTCTGTTGTATCTGATAAGTTTTGGTATATACTGTATTTTTAAATAATTTTTTTATTTTTTTATAAACATATAATGTGTTATTAGCCCCAAGGTATATACTGTTAATTATTGTTCAATGTTAGGTTGTTATCGTATAGATTAATTAGAAAGATTTTATTCATTTACTTGACACAGAGACAGAGAGAGAAGGAACACAAGCAGGGAGAGTGGGAAAGGGAGAAGCAGCCTTCCTGCTGAGCGGGGAGCCTGATGCGTGGCTCGATCCCATAGCCTTGGGACCATGACCTGAGCTGAAGGCAGATGCTTAATGACGGAGCCACGCAGGCATCCCCCACCTCACAGTATTTTAGCAAAAATAAAGGATAAATATAAATAAAATAAATAAATAAATAAATAAATAAATAAAAATAAAGGATAAATGAATTAATAGGTTGGGCCTACAAAGCATAGTGTCATTTCCATCCTTGTCTTTATTCAGATATTTCATATAGTAATGTGGACAGAAATTAGTTTCATCTTGCCTTTTTTCCCCCAACTGTTACATAAAGCTCTGTCATGTTTCTCTACAGCTTTTATGGTTTTCCTTTGAATGACTTGTACTTTCTCCCTAAGCAGCTGGATCATGCTTTGCTAAGCCCCTTCCTGATGTTGGATATTTGGGTTGTTTCAGTATTATATGTGGTGTGTGTGTGTGTGTGTGTGTGTGTGTGTGTGTGTGTGTGTTTGAGTGTGCTTATACTGCATTTGTAGAGCTACATGAGCATATACTTACATTTTCATTATTTGTAATAGCTACCATAGAATTGATGATTACCTGTAGGCCATTCACTGTTCTAAAAGTTTTATATTGGGGTGCCTGAGTGTATCAGTCTGTTAAGTGTCCAACTCTTGATTTTGGCTCAGGTCATGGCCTTAGGGTCCTGAGATAGAGGCCCATGCTGGGCTCTTCACTAAGTGTGGAGCCTGCTTGATAGCCCTATGCACAGCTCATCCAAAATTGTGAATAAGAGGATTGAGGTGATTTCCTAACATGTCTGAGAGTCTGAAGTTACCAAGAATCCCCAGTCTCTCTAGATGACCTTCTAATGCTACAAATTATCTTTCCAGAATCAATATCATCTACAGAGAGTCATCTCCCTTTCTTTCTTGACAGGGAAGAACTATTTCATAGTAAGAATGGGGCCCGAAAAAGTGCCAAGAAGATCCTCATTGTCATCACAGATGGGCAGAAATACAAAGACCCCCTGGACTACAGTGATGTCATCCCCCAGGCACAGAGGGCTGGCATCATTCGCTATGCCATTGGGGTATGTCCACTTCCTCATGTCTCCCTCAGACTCAGGCTGTATCTTACTCTGGCAGAAAGGCTAGTGGTCTCCTCCTCACCTGTCTCTCTGTCACAGGTGGGAAATGCTTTCCAGGAACCCACTGCCAGGCAGGAGCTGAACACCATTGGCTCACTGCCCTCTCAGGACCACGTGTTCAGGGTGGACAACTTTGCAGCACTCGGCAGCATCCAGGAGCAGCTTCAGGAGAAGATCTTTGCAGTCGAGGGTAAATGCAGGGCGAGCCTGGGTCTTGGGATTGAAGGTTCTGGGCCCAGGTGTCCCCTGCAGTATGGAGGGGCTATCCCTATTCACGGCTCACCCAGAATTGTGCCCCAGAACCTGAGCTTCAGATTCATTCTTCTCCTTGTGCTCTGAGTCCTTGTGGTCTCATGGTCCCCAGAGCCAAAGTGACCTGTTTCCCCACAGGAACCCAGTCGAAGACAAGTAGCTCTTTCCAACATGAGATGTCACAAGAAGGCTTCAGTTCAGTGCTCGCAATGGTGGGTGGAACACATACTTGATAAACAGGTGTCAGGCACCAATCCCGGGCCAGCCCTGTGCTGGGAGTTGGGACCCAGAAGTAAATAAGAAAGCAGATTCTGTCTTCAAGTTCATTGTCTGTTCAGAGACAGACATATGGGTAGTGTATGTAGGTGCCAAGAGCACAGCAGAGAACAGAGTAACCACGGTGTCTGCTCTCATAGGGCACCTATTCAGTGGGAGGAGACAACAAACAACCAAAAATAACTTCAGATTGTGCTAGGCATTAGGATAGAGCAAGAGAGGTGATCAGAGGAGGCCCGAGGAGTGACAACTGAGGCCAAATGATGAGAAAGGGCCATCCCTCGAAAAATCTGGGAGAGATTGCTCCAGGAAGAGGAAAAAGCAAGTGCAAAAGTCTTGAGGCATGAACACGGTTACTGGACCAGAGAGATAGAAGGGCCAGCGTAGCTGGAGCAGAGTGAGAGAGAGGGGTGGAAAGATGGGGAAGGCCAGATCATGCAGATGAAAGAAATGACAATATAGCATGGATTGTGTGCAAGTAGATGTGTGTTGAAAACATCCAGAGGGGTTTGCTTCAAAGTAATTTTGGGGGTGAATTGGGGGGACATAGAAATGAAACAAGGTTGGTCATGATTTGGTCATTGAAGCTGGGTCATGGGTACTTGGGAGTTCATTAAGCATTTCTTTCTACTTTTGTATATGTTCTAAATTATCCATAGTCAAAAGTTTAAAAAGGCAAAAAAAAAAAACAACAAAGTATGCAGAGTAGGAAAGGCCTATCACTCCCTGAGGGAGCCAAAGAAGACCTCACAGAGGAGGTGAGTTTGAGGTTGAGTCTTCCTGAGAACGGAGTGGAGTCCTAGAAAGACAGAAGAGAGAGGTGTCCAGCTCAAATGCTTCATGTGTTTAAACATAAGGTATCTCCACAGATTTGACTGGGAGGACCCTAGATGCAATCCTCAGGGGCTTGGTGACAGGGAGCCATCTTGGATTGCCAGCAGGGTGGTGGCTATACGTTTCTTGGTCCTGAGGAAACCTAACTCTGGTGTACTAGAGGATGGAGTAGAAAGGGTCATGGGTGAGAAGAGTTGGTACTTACTGGAACAGTGGCACTGGGGATGGTTGAGAGAGGTTAGGAGTGAGCGACACTGAAGTTGTTGAAGAAGACTGGGGAGGGAGGAAGAGAATTCCAAATAGTGAGCAGAATCAGTGGCAGGCCTTGCTTTGGAACAGGCCATCTTCTTTCGGCTTGGTCTGGCTCAGCCCTGGAATCCTTTCCTCCCAGGATGGACCAGTTCTGGGAGCAGTGGGGAGCTTCAGCTGGTCTGGAGGTGCCTTCCTGTATCCCCAAAATACAAGCCCCACTTTCATCAACATGTCTCAAGAGAATGTGGACATGAGGGACTCTTACCTGGGTGAGAAAAGGCTGTGGTTGGGGGCACAGGTGGGACATGAGCCTGGGAAGGGCAGGGGCTCAGGGGTGGGGTGGAAGCCTTTGTGCTGAGGTGTGCCCTCCTCAGGTTACTCCACTGAGCTGGCCTTTTGGAAGGGGGTCCAGAGCCTGATCTTGGGGGCCCCCCGCCATCAGCATACTGGGAAGGTAGTCATCTTCACCAAGACATCTGGGCAATGGAGGCCGAAAACAGAAGTCACAGGGACTCAGGTTGGATGTTGAGGAAGCTGGAGTGGAACGTGAGGGTGGCAGGGTCTGCAGGGGCAGAGAGAGAGGAGTTGAAGGGGTTTGGGATCCTGTAGGGGGGAGGTCCCAGTGGCTGGGGAGAAGTGGGACGTGTCCCAAAAGGGGCTGCCTCTGGCAGGGGCAGGCGGGATGACTTTTGGCTGTGCCCTGCAGATCGGCTCTTACTTTGGGGCCTCCCTCTGCACTGTGGATGTGGATAGAGATGGCAGCTCTGACCTTGTCCTCATCGGGGCTCCTCATTACTACAAGCCAACCTGGGGAGGGCAGGTGTCTGTGTGCCCCTTGCCCCAGGGGGTGAGTGTCTGATGAGACCAGGGCTGGGTGGGGCCTGGGTGTGGGGTGGAGGGATTGCCTGTGTTGGGACCTGACACTGGTTTTGTTCTGCAGAGGGCTAAGTGGCAATGTGAGGTCATTCTCTTTGGGGAGCAAGGCCACCCTTGGGGCCGCTTTGGGGCAGCCCTGACAGTGCTGGGGGATGTGAATGGGGACAAGCTGACGGACGTGGCCATCGGGGCCCCGGGAGAGCAGGAGAGCCGGGGTGCTGTCTACCTTTTTCATGGAACCTCAAGACTGGGCATCAACCCCTCCCACAGACAGGTGAGGCCCCTGTCTGAAGCCTCTCCCAGTTCTACCTGCTTTTCTAGGTCTCAGATTTGCCTGATGCCCTGTCATGTCACTGACCTGAACAGTAGCCATGCTCCTTTTAGGGGTCTAGTGCCCTGAATATCACCAGGCCAAGCTAAGCACAGAGTATCTCTCCTTTCTCCTGTGGGCAGCTTAGTGGTTAAGAGATTGCAGGGCGTGGGTCAAATGCCTGGCTGGCCATGTCAGCTGTGTGGCCTTAGGCAAGCGACTGATTTAGCCTCTAGGAGCCTTAGTTTCCTTCTGTGAGACATTAAATGAAGGAGCTCTAAGTCTGGGGTCCCTGGGGTCTCACTATTCTTGCTTTCCATTCCTACCCTCTTATCTCTCTGAATTTTTCCATTCAGTTCTGCTTTCTCTGCAGTTTTCTTTCCAAATCTTTCCTCTCAAATCTTTCAGATGCCCTCCTCTTGACTTCCACTTTTCCTTTTCCCCTCTGGCCAGCGGATCACAGGCTCCCAGCTCTCTCCCTCACTCCAGTATTTTGGGCAGTCGCTGAGTGGGGGTCAGGACCTCACCCAGGATGGATTGGTGGACCTGGCTGTCGGGGCCTGGGGACAGGCGCTGCTGCTCAGGTGACAACTCTCCACATCCCACCCTTGCCCACTGTGTGTCCATTCAACAAGCTGCCCCCTCCCTAGTCCTCCTGCCCGAGGCCAGATTCAGGTCCTCAGCCCCTGCATGCACCCTCAGGAGTCGGCCAGTGCTGAATGTGGGGGTGGCCATGAGATTCATGCCAGCGGAGGTGCCAAAGGTTGTGTACCAGTGCTGGGGAGACATGCCATCCACCCTGGAAGCTGGGAATGCCACAGTCTGTCTCACTATCCACAAAAGCTCACTGGACCAGCTAGGTGAGTTTCTTCCCAGTGGACCCAGTCCCTTATCCCCTTGAGACCCCAAGCCTACCTCAGGAGAAAATGGGCTAAGGAATCCAGATACCACCTCCACATCCACCTGCCTGCCAGTGTAGGAAACCCTGGGTCCCTTCTCTCCCCCTCTCCCCACACCCAGGCCAGTGGGCTCTAAGTCCAGGATATGATCTGGAGTCTGCCTACTTCTCTCCACCTACTCCAGCCACTGCCTACCTTGAAGCCACCTCTTTTCATTCCTACCTATACTTTGAGCTGTTTCCATGTCTGTTCTTGCAACCTCCCAACTTTTCTCCATAGAGAAACTAGAAGTATTGGTCCTAAAACACAAATCTCTTCTCCTCACTTGCCTACTTAACATCCTCCTGCCTCTCCTTTCTTCCATTTATAAAGGCTAAGATCCTTCTCTACAATGTCCTTGCTGATTTTGCTCCACCCTGCCCTTCCAACCTCACCTCATCCCACTCTCCGTTTCTGTAAATGTGCCATCCTCCCTCTATCTTCTGGTCTTAGCCATTGTTCCCATGGTTTGGGACCTTCTCCTCCCCATTCTTCACCAACCCTTGGTCATCCTCCAGGTTGGGGCTCAGACAAGGCCCACCCAGGAAGGCATTTCTGATCCCAGGCAAGCCCTCCTTGGTACTACTGGGGATCCCATCATTGGGTTTATCATGTTGGGGGATTATGTTCTGCATGCTTGTCTCCTTTCCTAGACTGAGAGTTTCATGAAGGCAGGGATGATATTTCTTTATCTTCTTCTCCACATGTATTCCAGTGCCTGATATACCTCATAGCCCATAGGAAGTTCTCAGCAATATTTTTTGCATGAATAAACAAAACCTGAACATTCGAGGTTCTCTTGGACTTTCCATCTTCTGTTCCTCCCTTCTGCTTCAGGTGATGTCCAAAGCTCTGTCAAGTATGATCTGGCATTAGACCCAGGCCGTCTGGTTTCTCGTGCCATTTTTGACGAAACCAAGAACTGGACTTTGACTCGAAGAAAAACCCTGGGAATGGGAGTTTACTGTGAAACCATTAAGCTGCTTTTACCAGTAAGGACTTTGGTTCTGGGAAAGGGATGGGGAGAAGGAGCCCAAGGAGAACCTCTGGTACCTCTGCTCCCTGTTGAGTGTCGTGTAAAGGGTGGGGATATTGGGGCCAGAGAGAGGAAATTGAAGCCAGAGAACCTGACTCCACAGCTAGGACAGAATGCTGTCCCGACAGTAGGAAATGGATGCAGTTGAGGAGAAGGGTCAGTGGTGGAAAATAATGAGAAGGATAGTGGGTTCTTGAAAGGCCATTCTCCCTTAGGACTGTGTGGAGGACGTGGTCAATCCCATCATCCTACGCCTCAACTTCTCCTTGGTTGGGGAGCCCATCCCCTCATCTCAGAACCTTCGCCCTGTGCTGACTATGGACTCCCAGGACCTCTTCACTGCTTCTGTGAGTCTTCCAATGAAGTCCCAGGGATGTGTTGACTTTCACTCCGTTTCTGTGTCTTAAGAACCTGTTGTGGTTCTCAACTTTTCATCAACCACCTCAAGTCCATAATGCCTCCACCCAGTTACCAAGGCCCTGCCTAGTTTGGACTCTTACACACATCCCAACTGGTCACCACTTTACCTCAACATAAACTGATTCTCATTCTCCAAATCCTTCCCAATTTTTCTCATTCCTTCCTCTGTTTCTTTTTCCATGTCATAGTTTCTACCTGGAAAACATTTTTTTCCTCTCCACCTCAAAAATCCTTTCTAATTCTCTAAGCCCCAGTCTTAGCTTCCCCCTTTTTGGAAATCAGAGTCAGCATCTGTCCCTCCTTCACTGGCTTCCTATTACATCATGGTGATACCAAATATTACATGACTGGAATCATGGCAATTGGCATCAACTTTGGTTGATCTCTGGAAATTGTGAGTTCTGTGAGTACAAGAGCCATGTCTAATTCATCTGTGGTTTCCACGCTTCCTAATGCCTCACCCAACTTGGAACCTGTCCCCTATCGAATAATTGTTCCAATGTGAGATGGAATTAACTCCTCAGCTAAACTTCATGTTCCTTGAAACCAAGGATCTTATCATTCTGCTCCCTTCCTTACTGCCCCACTTCTTGACAGTGTCTAGCATAGTACTAGGTGTGGGATGGGTGCTCAGTAATACTCAATAACGAACACTCAGGATGAGTGGAATGCAGAAAGATTAAGACATGGAGGGGAAGAGAATCTCCTGTTTTTCTGCAGCTCCCCTTTGAGAAGAACTGTGGACAAGATCACCTCTGTGAAGGGGACCTGAGCATCAATCTCAGCTTCTCAGGGTGAGCTGAGAGATGTCTATCTCTTTTCATTTCTAGACACTTAAGCTTTTGGGTCTCCTATCCCCATGGGATGAGAAATGCTTGTTTCCCTTTGGCTCTCCTTCTAACAAAGAAATTAAATTTTGATTGGAACGTTATCAGTTCATGAGTTCCTGCAGTCCTGGCCTTACCCTTGATCCAATTCCAACTGATTTCCAGTGGAATGTCTTTTTCACTTTTGCCCTTCCTCTTTCAGCCTGCAGACCCTTGTGGTAGGGAGCTCCCTGGAGCTTAATGTGACAGTGACTCTGTGGAATGAGGGTGAGGATTCCTATGGAACTGTGGTCCACTTCTACTACCCAGCAGGGCTGTCCTATCGACGAGTGTTAGGAACACAGGTAAATATCTCCCTTGTTCTCTTATGTCTCTTCCCTGCCCTGAGTTACAGTAGGTTCTTTTTAATTCTTCTACGATGAAATCTAAACATAGATACAGACAATTCTGAAGAAGAGAGAGAGAGACACAGAGAGAGTGGTGCATAAAGCAGATGTATAGTTAAATAAATAATATTAAGCAAATAGCATCTAGGTCAAGGAATAATACACTGGTAGTACCTCCAGAAGTACTCTCTCTATGTTCTTTTCCTCATGAAAACCTCAGTCTCTCCCCAAGTTAACCACTATTCTGACTTTGTGATAATCAATTCCTTGTGTGGTTTATGGTTTTACCACCCATGAGTTCATCTATGAGAAAACTGTTGTGTTTTGTCTATATTTGAAATTTATGGGAACATGTTGTATGTTCTTTTGAAATTTTATTCATTTATTCAACATTTGATTATGAACATTCATACATGTTGTTGCTTGTGGCTGTAGACTATTTCTATTGTATATAAAATCCCTTTGTATGACCATACCACAATTTATTTACCCATTCCATATTTTGAGAAAATGTTTTTATTTAATTTCTAGGTAGTTAACATACAGTGTAATATTGGTTTCAGGAAGTAATTTGTCCCTTATATATAACACTCAGTGCTCATCACAAGTCCCTTCTTAATATTCCTCATTCATTTAGCCCATCCTCTGCTCACCTCCCCCTCCGGGAACCCTCAGTGTGTTCTCTATAGTTGAGTCTCTTCTGGTTCGCCTCCCTCTCTTTTTTCCCCCTTCCTCCAGTTCATCTGTTTTGTTTCCTTTTAAAAAATCTAATTTAATTTTTTTTTAGTGTTCCAAGATTCATTGTCTATGCACCACACCCAGTGCTCCATGCAGTATGTGCCCTCCTTAATTCCCACCACCACGCTCACCCAATACCCCACCTTCCTCTCTTCCAAAACTCTCAGTTTGTTTCTCAGAGTCCACAGTCTCTGATTTCCCCCAACTCACTTCTCTCCTCCCAATGTCCTCCATGTTATTTCTTATGCTCCACAAGTAAGTGAAACCATATGATAATTGACTGAATATTATGCCTGCATCAGAAAGGAGGAATACCCAACTTTTGCATCTCTTTTGTTTCTTAATTCTACATATAAGGGAAATCACATGACATTTGTCATTGACTGACTTATTTCACTTAGCATAATACCCTCGAGTTTCATCCATGTCATTACGAATGGCAAGATTTTATTTTTTGATGGCAGAGTAATATTCCATTGTATATGTATACCTCATCTTCTCTATCCATTCATCAGTTGATGGTCATTAGGGCTCTTTCCATAGTTAGGCTTTCATATTTAATGCTGATATAAACATTGGGGTGCATATACTCCTTTGAATCACAATTTTTTAACCTTTTGGGTAAATGCCTAGTAGTGCAGTTCTGAGTCATAGGGCAGTTCTATTTTTAACTTTTCAAGGAAGCTCCATACTATTCTCCAGAGTGGCTGCACCAGTTTGCATTCCCCCCACAGCGTAAGAGGGTTCTCCTTCTCTGTATCATCACCAACACCTGTTTCTTGTGTTAATGTTAGCCATTCTGACAGCTGTGAGGTGATATCTCAATGTAGTTTTGATTTGTAACCCTTATGATGAATGATGATGAAAATGTTTTCATGTGTTTGTTAGCCATCTTTGTGTCTTTGGAAGAATGTTTGTTCATGCCTTCTGCCCATTTCTTAATGGAATTATTTATTTTTTGCTTCTTGAGTTTTATGAATTCTTTATATATTTTGGATACTAACCCTTTATCAGACATGTCATTTGCAAATATCTCCTCCCATTCTGTTGGTTGCTTTTTTGTCTTGTTGATTGTTTCCTTCACTGTGCAGAAGTTTTTCATTTTGACGAAGTCCCAAAATTTCATTTTTGCTTTTTTTCCCCTTGCCTCTGGTGATGTGTCTAGTAAAAGTTGCTATGGGCAAGGTCAAATATGTTGCTGTCTGTTTTCTTTAGGATTTTGATGTTTTCCAATCCTACATTTATCTTTCATTCATTTTGTTTTTTGTTTCTTTCTTTTTTTATTATTTTTTTTTACTATACTACTTTTTTAAAAATAGCACTGGGTGTGGTGCAAAAACAATGAATTCTGTTATGCTGAAAAGAAATAAAGAAAAAAAGAAAAAAATAAATAATGAGGTTAGCCTAACCAAAAAAATAAATAAATAAATAACTTTTAAATTTTTATTTCTTTTTTAAATTTCTTTTTTTTAATTTCTTTTTTGTAATTTTAAAAAATTTTTAAAAATTTCTTTTCAGTGTAAATTAATTCATTGTTTTTGCACCACACCCAGTGCTCCATGCAATATGTGCCCTCCTTAATACCCACCACCTGGTTCCCCCAACCTCCCACCCTCCGCCCCTTCAAAACCCTCAGGTTGTTTTTCAGGTCCATAGTCTCTCATGGTTCACCTCCCCTTCCAATTTCCCCCAACTCGCTTCTCCTCTCCCCATGTCCTCCATGTTATTTGTTATGCTCCACAAATAAGTGAAACCATATGATAATTGGCTCTTTCTGCTTGACTTATTTCACTCAGCATAATCTCTTCCAGTCCCGTCCATGTTGCTACAAAAGTTGGGTATTCATCCTTTCTGATGGAGGCATAATACTCCATAGTGTATATGGACCACATCTTCCTTATCCATTCGTCTGTTGAAGGGCATCTTGGTTATTTCCACAGTTTGGCGACCGTGGCCATTGCTGCTATAAACATTGGGGGTACAGATGGCCCTTCTTTTCACTCCATCTGTATCTTTGGGGTAAATACCCAGGAGTGCAATTGCAGGGTCATAGGGAAGCTCTATTTTTAATTTCTTGAGGAATCTCCACACTGTTCTCCAACGTGGCTGCAACAACTTGCATTCCCACCAACAGTGGAAGAGGGTTTGCCTTTCTCCACATCCTCTCCAACACACGTTGTTTTCTGTCTTGCTAATTTTGGCCATTCTAACTGGTGGTATCTCAATGTGGTTTTAATTTGAATCTCCCTGATGGCTAGTGATGATGAACATTTTTTCATGTGTCTGAAAGCCATTTGTGTGTCTTCATTGGAGAAGTGTCTGTTCATATCTTCTGCCCATTTTTTTGATATGATTATCTGTTTTGTCTGTGTTGAGTTTGAGGAGTTCTTTATAGATCCTGGATATCAACCTTTTGTCTGTCCTGTCATTTGCAAATATCTTCTCCCATTCTGTGGGTTGCCTCTTTGTTTTGTTGACTATTTCCTTTGCTGTGCGAAGCTTTTGATTTTGATGAAGTCCCAAAGTTCATTTTTGCTTTTGTTTCCTTTGCCTTTGGAGACATATCTTGAAAGAAGTTGCTGTGGCTGATATCGAAGAGATTAATGCCTATGTTCTCCTCTAGGATTCTGATGGATTCCTGTCTCATGTTGAGGTCTTTTATCCATTTCACCAGTACCATGCTGTCTTGGTGATCACAGCTTTGTAGTAAAGCTTGAAATCAAGCAACACAAGGCAGCCAGTTTTGTTTTTATTTTTCAACATTTCCTTAGCAATTCGGGGTCTCTTCTGGATCCATACAAATTTTAGGATTGATTGCTTCAGCTCTTTGAAAAATGCCAGTGAAATTTTTATCAGAATGGCATTGAGAGTATAGCTTGCTCTAGGCACTATAGACATTTTTAATTTTTTTATTTTATTATTTTTTTAATCATTTTTTAAATTTATTTTCAGCATAACAGTATTCATTGTTTTTGTACCACACCCAGTGCTCCATGCAATCTGTGCCCTCTCTAATACCCACCACCTGGTTCCCCCAACCTCCCACCCCCTGACCTCTTCAAATCCTTCAGATTGTTTTTCAGAGTCCATAGTCTCTCATGGTTCACCTCCCCTTCCAATTTCCCTCAACTCCCTTCTCCTCTCCATCTCCCCGTGTCCTCCATGTTATTTGTTATGCTCCACAAATAAGTGAAACCATATAATTGACTCTCTCTGCTTGACTTATTTCACTCAGCATAATCTCTTCCAGTCCCGTCCATGTTGCTACAAAAGTTGGGTATTCATTCTTTCTGATGGAGGCATAATACTCCATAGTGTATATGGACCACATCTTCCTTACCCATTCGTCTGTTGAAGGGCATCTTGGTTCTTTCCACAGTTTGGCAACTGTGGCCATTGCTGCTATAAACATTGGGGTACAGATGGCCCTTCTTTTCACTCCATCTGTATCTTTGGGGTAAATACCCAGTAGTGCAATTGCAGGGTCATAGGGAAGTTCTATTTTTAATTTCTTGAGGAATCTCCATACTGTTCTCCAAAGAGGCTGCACCAACTTGCATTCCCACCAACAGTGTAAGAGGGTTCCCCTTTCTCCACATCCCCTCCAACACATGTTATTTCCTGTCTTGCTAATTTTTTTATTTTTTTAAATGTCTTTACAGTGTACCAGAATTCACCCAACTTCCCACCCCCTGTCCCTTCAAAACCTTCAGATTGTTTTTCAGAGTCCATAGTCTCTCATGGTTCATCTCCCCCTCCAATTTCTCTCAACTCCCTTCTCATCTCCATCTCTCCATGTCCTTGTGTTATTCCTTATGCTCCACAAATAAGTGAAACCATATGATAATTGACTCTCTGCTTGACTTATTTCACTCAGCATAATCTCTTCCAGTCCCGTCCATGTTGCTACAAGAGTTGGGTATTCATCCTTTCTGATGGAGGCATAATACCCCATAGTGTATATGGACCATATCTTTTTTATCCATTCATCCATTGAAGGCTCTTTCCACAATTTGTTGACTGTGGCCATTGCTGCTATGAACACTGGGGTACAGATGGTCCTTCTTTTCACTACATCTGTATCTTTGGGGTAAGTACCTAGTAGTCCAATTGCAGGGTCATAGGGAAGCTCTATTTTTAATTTCTTAAGAAATCTCCACACTGTTTTCCAAAGTGGCTGTACCAACTTGCATTCCCACCAACAGTGTAAAAGGGTTCCGCTTTCTCCATATCCTTTTCAACACACGTCATTTACTGTCTTGTTAATTTTGGCCATTCCAACTGGTGTAAGGTGGTATCTCAATGTGGTTTTG